GTTAGTAGCACTAACAATGGGAAAGTACGTCACCTGTCTCCACGTGATACAGCCTGAAGTGCACAGCCTCACCAATGACATGCTCTGTCCACACGTTTTTAACCCAAATCCAGTCAAGCCCTTAGACCTCACATCCAGTTTGTAGGAATGGCAGCAGCTAGAGGAACGAGCTAAATGATGCCATGACGAAACTGCCAAAGAAATCTAGAAGGTGGAATATCTCTGAAACTAGAATCTTCAATGAGTCAGTGCCATGTAAAAAATAAAAAAGGCAGGAGTACCGCTCCAGATTTTTAAGAGGGAACCCTGACTGGATTCTCATTTGAAAAAACAGCTTTAACATAATTTGGAGAAAAATTGAGTGTGGAAGTTTTGAAGAAATTTAGAAAATAGATAAAACAAATACTAGTATGGCAAAATGTAACCAATTGTGTCTAGGTGGCAGATATAAAGGTAATCACTATACTCATCCTTCAACTCACACGCTTAAAATATTTCATAACAAGTTAGAAGAAAATCAGTTCCACAGGGCCCTATTTTTTGACTTGGAAGGATATCAAGGGCAAGTTGTTGAATTTAAAATGCAGGTTATTTACGACTCACAAGTGTATAAGGAAAAAAATGCAGGTAAGAAAATAAATAATATGCAAATAAGAAACAAATAATTTTTCAAAATGCATATAGTACACATGTTGAAAAATCAATGTAATATTTGTACACCCATGTTCATAGCAGCATTATTCATAATAGCCAAAGTGTACAAACAATCCAAGCATTCATCAGCAAGTGAATGGAGAAACAAAATGTGGTATATCCATACAGTGGAATATTATTCAGCCTTCAAAAGGAAAGACACATGCTACAACATGGATGAACCTTGAGGACATTGTTTTAACTGAAATGAGCCAGTCACAAAAAGACAAATACTGTATGATTCCACTTATATAAGGTACCTAGGGTAGTCAAACTCATAGAGACAGAAAGTAGAATGGCGGCTGCTGGGCCTAGGGACAGAGGATAAATGGGCAGTTATTATACAAGAGGTATAGAGTTTCAATTTTGCAAGAGTTCTGGAGATTGGCTGTACATCAATGTGAATGTTCTTAACACTACCGCACTGTACCCTTAAAAATGGTTGAGATGGCAAATTTTATGTTATGTGTACATTACAACTAAAAAATAAAAAATTTAAATTAAAAAAATCACTGTTGCATAAAGATAGATCTAAGAGAGCATATGTCTAGAAGCATGCACAGAGTTGTTATTTCTGTAAGTTAGAGTTTCTGGGCAATTTTCACCTCCCTTTCCACTTCTGTATTATTTGAATTTTTTAATAATAAACATGAATTAGTTTTATAAAAAAACATAAAGGTAATTTTAAAAGAAAGAAAACTTCTGCAGGTTTTCACTGTTTTGGAAAACATGGGGATAATAGAGCCAAATTTTTAGGAAAATGGATCTTCAGAAAACAATAGGAATTGTCAGTGCAGCTGAGAATTTTGTTAAAAGCAATAAAAATCCTTTGTTCCATGTGGTGAGAAGCAGAACAGGCCCTGGCACCTCCTGTCTCTGCATGTGGCTGCCGTGGAGAGTTCGGCCTTCTCATTCCCTGGCTGCCAGGCCAGCCTGATCTGGCTCACAGCGGAGGCCCGGTGGCGGCGTGGGGCCTTTGTGGGAACGCTCGCCTGCCCCTCCCTGGGAACTGTGTTTTGCTTGGTGTGTGGCCATCAAGGAGGTGATCCTGCCTGCTGCTGCTGACCCAGGGCTGGTCTGCCTCCTGGTCCCCCACATCTACTCCAGAACCTCACCTTGCCTGCCGCACCCCAGGGGTGTAGTTTATGAGGCCCTCACAGCTACCACCACATCAAGCCAGGCTCTGATCTCGCCCCCAGGGGGATCCAGTTTCTGTTGAAATGTGCTAATCCTTCGGGTCTGCGGTGGATCTCCCACACAGCACCCCACGCCAATTACTCATTTCAACCTTGGCTGATCTCTGAATTTTGACCTCCTGTCCCTATCAGGCTTCGGGCCCTGTATCCTATTTGTGATGGAGAAACTTACATCTTAACTACTAATATGTTCACATAAACATACCAGCCACTAAAGCATCACTAAAATCTTTTCTAAAATTTGTTATGGAACAGAATGAGTATTTGTATTCACATGGGATTCTGAAAAAAATGAATTACACGGTTCTATTTTGTTTCCATTAAATTATTGTTTTTAGTTTTACTTAAGGTACTGACAACATAACCTTAATATCAAATTGTGCCCTTTTTAAAAAGAAATTAAATATTTTGAAAACACAGAAAAGCACACCATAACAAACACCTGTGTTCAGACCACTCAGATTTAACAGATAACATCTTGTAATGATTGTTTCAAGTCTGAAATTTTCATTTTAAAATTAAATTTTACTTCTGCGTATGGGTAGCGCTGGCCTTACGGAAACCGTGATGCTGGCAGAGACTTCTTCCTGCTGTCCCAGCCGTCAGCGGCAGGTGAATGACCATGGTCCCATAGAGGGCCCTCATGGGCCTTCCCCAGATTAGCTGTGCCGGCAGCTGCTAACCAGGGCTCCACATGGAGCTCTGGAGTCCTCAGCTCTATCAGAAATGAGTCCTGGTCACAAGTAGCACAAAAAGTTGCAAGCCACAAAAGGAAGGTTTATTAGAACAGAGGAAGCTTATTACAACGCTGCAGGTGTCTGAGAAGAGAAATGCACACAGGGTGCATGGCTGTGGAGTCGCAGCTTATTAGTGCTTCTCTCTGCTTCATCCTCTGCTCCTACTCAGTTCCCGTGGTGGAAGTGGCCTCCCGTGGCTTCTGAGTTTGCATATGCCATGTCTGGCCACAGAAGGAGGCTGGCTAACAGACCTTCAGCCGCAAGTCTACAAGTCCAGGGAGAATCTGATTGCTTCACACTGGGTCTGGTTCCACCTCTGGTCCAGAAAGCTCTGGTGAGGGTGGCAAAATTGTGTGTGACAAGCATGGCAGTTAAGGTGGCACTTCTGTGGCCCTGTGGATTTGGGGGGTAAAGGCAGTAACCTCAAGAAGGGAACCCCCTGTCCTGCACATAGGTGCATATCCTGCTGGGATGCTCCCCGCGGTTTAAGCACAACTGGAATGTCAGCGACGGCTGGGTGTGACTGTCTACTTCCCAGACACCTGGAAATGAGGCAGGCACATGCTGCTGCTGCTAATGGTGAGTGGAGGAGCAGGAAGACAACCATATACCCTGAGGGTCTACAACATAGGTGTTTCCTGGGTGGCCCACTTGTCATTAAAGTGTCACAGTACAAGATTTGTGAATGGACAAAAACTCCCATGTTTACAAATGGACATGCTTTAAAAGTTGATGTTCATATTTTTGTACCTGTTCAATGAATGTGCAGGCTGTGGAGTGCCAGGGGGATAAATGGGTGTGAGAAAATAGAGACAATTCAACCCCAAACTTTTTCGAGGGAGGGGCTAACTGTTTTATGTGGACCCTGCATGCGTACTATAAGAGGTAGGCTTCGTTTTAGAGCCAAATCTCATAAAATGTGCACTTACTTTTCTTCCTACATCCACTCACCCTTCTAAAGGTATGTGTCTGGGTTTTTTTCACCCTTGTAAGCCATTTCAAATCTTTTCTGGAATAAGCAGGATGTACATAAATATATAAAATGAAGTCATGGGGCCGGCCCGGTGGCGCACTGCGATAGTGTGCTGCTTGGGAAGCGTGGCGGCGCTCCCGCCGAGGGTTCGGATCCCACATACAGACCGGTTCCCGCTCACTGGCTGAGCGAGGTGCGGGAGCAACACCGAGGGTTGCGATCCCGTTGCCGGTCCCGGTCCGGTACAGGGGCAACACTGAGGGTTGCGATCCGTTGCCGGACATGGAAAAAGACAAAAAAAAATGAAGTCATGTTTATATGAGTATTTCTATATTAGCTCATAGAAACCCAAAGCATAATACCACTAGTGGCAATATTTTGACCATATAGGCAGTTATTACTTACAATATTTTTTCCTAAAAAAATCATTTTTAAGCTCACACGTGGGCTGGAGAGCTCACATCCTCCATGGAGGCTCCTGTAGTGGAGTGAGCCTCACAAAGGTGATTTGTTGGCTATCTCCACTTGCTTATGAAAAGCCACCTCTCTAGGCTCTTCCACCTGTAGCTATTGCGAATGTACCCTTTTGAGGTCAGTGCTGCAAGGTCCACTGTGCTTGAGCAGCAGCAGTGGCTGAGTTTTGGATGGACAGGGAAATGCCTGGTGACACAGCAGGCTTCACCCAGCACCAGGACTGTTTAGCTTTCAGGAAGATACAGGACTGGCAGCCACACTGCATGCACAGTAACTCCTGGGCACAGCCTTGGAATGCCTCCTGCTTCCCTCCATGAAGGGTATGCACATCGTCATGAGAGGAGGCTCAGATCAGGGAGGCAAACTCAGGGGTCCCCTGAGCCTTTTCTGGGTATATGAGGAGCCCCATGTGTGGTGCAGCTGCATTCAACAAAGCCCTTACTCATGACTGATAGGCCGCTGAGGCAATGAGGTGCAGGGGCTTTGTCTGTCCAGTCCTCTGCGGGTTCTTGTCCTGCAGTCAGTATACCTCTGTGATTCCTTGACTTAGTGCTGCAAGAAGAACTTGACCAAACCAATAGTCAAGTCCTCCTGTGTCCCTGTGGCTAAATGAAAGATCACAAGCCAGCTGTTAAGCCGTGTCTTCCCCATGTTTGTATCGTAAGCACAGGATCTGGCATATAGTAGATTGTTGATAGGAATTTGTCTAATGAATATTCAATTTCAACCTCTGAAGTTAAAGTATTTCATATGCAGATTGTTTCATGTGTCTTGTGTTTATAAATAAGTGCGATTGCCTAGAAAGTAAAACTAATTTTTTTCTATTTTAAAAATAATTTATACAAAAGCCTTGGCCTTTATGCTGGTAAAAGGGATAATAACTGTAACATAAAGTCCTAAACTATTTTTTCTCAATCTGTCTTTTAGATTATTTGAATATATTTTGCTGTATAAGGATGGAGTAATGTTTCAGATTGAACAAGCCACCAAGCAGTGCTCAAAGATCGCCCTGAAGGACCCCTGGGATCCTCTTGACATTCCTCAGAACTCCACCTTTGAAGATCAGTACTCCATCGGGGGTCCCCAGGAGAAGGTCACTGTCCAGGAGTGGTCTGACAGAAAGTCAGCTAGAGCCTGTAAGGACTAAAAGAAGGGTTAAGCATTGTATCTCAGGATGCATGACGAGAAAAACACTTCCATTAAGGAAAGTAGATGTTATGAAAATGTATAAGCTTAATTAAATTGTTTAGAGCTTTTTAAGTCCCCATGTGTACTTTGCTAATCATGTGACACTAGGATCTAAGCATCATATTTGCAACACCTCCGCCTTCAACAGCCAGCTGTACCTTTCTGCCTCTTTTTGACTCTTACAGACTTAGACTTGGTTTAGACTTTTCAGGATCACCCCAAGGCATTTTTCTAAGGCACACATTTGAATGGGGCGCCCCCTTCTCCTACCCCCATATCACCTCCTAATGTTGCAGTGACCAGATCTACTCCCATTATTCTGAATGGCGAAGCAACTGCTTTTCTGCGTGGCTCTTCTCTGCTCTGCTGCCACCATGTCTATCCCAAGACTGTTTTAAACACACAGACTTTCGTGCTGCGGAAAGCAGTATGGCAGCTCCTCAGAAAATTAAACAGAGACCACATGATCCAGCAATTCCACTTCTATGTATATATCCCCAAAGAACTGAAGGCAGAGACTTAAATAGATATTTGTACACCCCTGTTCAGAGTGATATTATTTACAATAGCTAAAAGGTGAAGATGACCCATAGATTCATCAGCAAATGAATGAACAAAATGTGGTATGTACGAAGGTACTTCAAATAGATCATGGAAAGATTCTAATTCCATTTTTCCACAAACTTTCTCAAGTACCCTTCTCTGTAAAATGGAAAGTTACTCAACCTTTAAAAGAAAGGAGATTCTGACACATGCTGTAACATGTATGAACCCTGAGGACATTGTGTTAACTGAAATGAGCCCGTCACAAAAGGACAAAAATGATGGGATTCCCCTTAATGAGGTACCTGGAGTGGTCAGATTCATAGAGACAGACAGTGGGATGCTGGTTGCCAGGGGCTGGGAAAGGAGGACAGGGGACTTAGGGTTAAATGGGTACAGTTTCAGTTTGAGAAGATGACAAAGTTCTGGAGATGGACGGTGGTGATGGCTGTCCAGCAACGTGAATGTGCTTAATGCCACCAATATGGTACATTTTATGTTATGCACATTTTATCATTGTAAAAAAAAACAGGCACTTTGCCTGTCTTCTCTATTAAAAAGTCAATTTTCTTCCTCTTATAGATGAAACATGGATTGGCATTTATACAGTCAAGGATTGTTATCCTGTCCAGGAAACCTTCACCAAAAACTACAGTGTGATTCTGTCAATGCGTTTTTTTGATGTGCAGCTGGGTATTAAAGACCCCTCCGTGTTCAGTCCTCCAAGCACGTGCCAAACAGCCCAGCCAGAGGAGATGACTGAGCACTGCTCCGAGTGAGCCTTGTGCAGAAGCCACAGCACCCGCCATCCGCTGCAGGGGCCCAGCTGGCACGGATTTGAGACTGGTCGGGGTGAGAATCTTCATTGGAGAGAAATGTAATTTCAGGAAGATAAACATTGCTGTGGGTTGTTTTGTATGTTGATTTTGACTAACGCTGTGTTTACAGAAGAAAATTGGACAGAGAGTATGTGCTAATATGAGCCAACTGGATGGCTACTATGGACACTTAGGATACTTCTAAGCCTGTTTGGGTGTGTGTTTTCTGCGTGAGCAGCTGCATGCTCAGTGCCATGGCATACAGAGGCAGGGGTCAGGAGGAGCAGTTGGCCTTAGCAGGGAGGAGTATTTTATTAGACGTTGTTAAGAATTGACGGTGATAATAACAAGAAGAGTGATTTGGGTCAGTTTCATTATTAATGTTTAAGTTCCCTGCAGAGAATGCCCCTTTGTTGCCCAGGGTGCCAGACTGCTCCCACTGACCCCTGCCCCAAGCTCCCTTGGCCACTGGTGAAATGATCTCTCAAAATTCCTTCCAGACTTTAGGGCTTTATGGCATGACCCAAATGATATAAATATTGTGGAAGGAAATGAAAGGCTATAATATGAAGTAATTATTCCTTAAAAGGGACATTTTAAGCAAGAGAGTTTGGAAAATCCTAATGTCTGCACCTGGTTAAGAGTGAGAAATGTGCTTCCTTTTTTCTATGCAAGAGTATCATGTATGTGCTGAGTCCTCACATGCTTGTCAATAGGCAGGTAGTGCTCCAATCTAGCACTGAACTGGGAGCCGGGGGACTATTGCCCTAAGTCCAGGACCAGAGTTCCCTTGTACTCCAACTCCTCTGGTTATTAAATGCACTATGATTGCCCTTGGCCTTCCCAGGACACTGGCTCACAGCCTCTGTGTCTCGCTGACTTTCCCTCATCCTTCCCAGGTCAGCACACACACGACCTTCTCTAAGTGGCTCCCAAGACTGTGTTAGTTGCACCTTGCAGCTTGAGCATGGTTTTCTCACAGTGCTTACTACACTGTGTGATAATTTCTTGCTTCCCGGATCATCTGCTGTCTTGGCAATGAGCTCTTGAGTACGGGTACCGTGTTCTGTCTACTTTCATATCCCCAGCACCAAGCAAGTGCCTGGCACATGGTCAGTGCCCTAAACATTTGTAGAGTGAGGAATGCTAGGCTGTCTGGTCCTTAGTTTCCTCATCTGTTAAGTGGGGTTAGTTTTGTCGCTTGCTGGGGAGACCTCCCATAATATTTATTATTCTAGATTCTTCTACTATCGTGCTTCATCTGATATCTATCTCCTTTAGTTAATGAGAGAAATGTGTGACACCTATATTATATACTGAAAATAGTCTAGATTACTCACAGTTTATATTATTTCAATAAACAAATTTAATTGCATTTCAAAGAGTTCTTTGATATATTTGCTTTGGTAATAAATATGGATGACCTTGGTTATAAGGGAGTTCAAACTCTTCTGTAATAAATAAATTGCTTCATGTGACCAGCACCACGCACATTATCCTCGTTTGAAAGCTTGTTCTTCCTCTCTCCCCAAAGTCTAGTTTCCAGCTGCCAGGTCGAGAGCTTCAACCACTCTTGACCCACTTGTCTCTGCAAGCCCCACCAGCAGTCAGTATCCCAAATCCCATCAAAGTAGCTTTTAAAGCCACTGCCCTGGTCCATCTCCTCAGCCACCAGCCAGGTCCGGCTCTCAACATCTTTGGCCTTTGCACAGTGCTCATGGCCTCTGTCCTTGCCCTGGCCTTTTTCTCTGGAAGCTACCCTGTGTCCACTCATTACTCAGTCAGTCGTCTTGAGCCAGTCCCGAGTTCCTGCTCTCTCCAGGGTCCTGGCATCACAGAGGAGGGAGAGGCCCTGCCAAGGCTGGCATCTGGAACGTGCAAGCCAGGAAGAACCTCACGGCTGCACTGCAGGTGGTCCAGCCTGACAGAGCCTCCATGGCAGTGTCCGCCACCTCCTGTCTCCAAACCACACGTCTCCCGTGAGCCCCGGACTTTGCCTTTGCCCATCCCAGACCACATCCCCACACAAAGGAAAAAGGAAGAAAACTTTAATTTTATTCAGGAACATACAAAGTGCATGTCCTTTGGTTTTTCAGTTGGCCCATTTTAGTAATTAAGCCACTTCACAGACATGAGTAAAAAGCCCTGAAGGATTTTACGTCTGGTGGGGACCTTAATACAGATCTGATGGTGTCCTGCCCCTGTGGTTCGCCACTGGCTAAGAGTAAAGTGGAGGCCCCTTAGCCTGGGGGAAAGGCCCTTTGTGACTGGGCCCCTGGCTCTGTCCAGCCTCAGCACTGGCACTGTTCTTTCTTTTCCCAGTTGCCGCAGAGCTTGAGAAGTGATCACCTGGTGACTGGTGGGTGGCAGGAAGTTTTCTTAGCAGTCTTGTGTAAGAACTTCCTCATTGCCATTGTAGTCAAAATGAAGTTGGCCATTAATTACGGCAGGGACTTACACCTCTTACTGAAGAACAGCAACCCAGTGTCTCACTTTTCAGCAGACATGGTGTTACTGACAATGGGCATGCACTAGGGTTGGGTACCACTTTGTGGATACCCTGCCTTGTGAGTCTCTGACCCTTTATGCTACATTGGAAAAATTTACTTCCACCTCTCCTAAGGTGACCTTACCACTTCCAAACTGCCAGGACCATTCCAGCACTGAGGTGTGCTCGACCCTCCACCTGCCTTCAACTCTGCCAGGCTGGCGAAGGCCCCGTGGCCAGGGACAGAACCATGGCTGCCTCTTACCCATGTGCCAGTCTAGGAGGCCTGGGCTTTCTGCCCCCAACTGCTCTATTATCAGAGTGACTTTCTCACCAGAAGCTTAGCTAACTGAGATTTCTAAAATTGGAACACATTTAAACATCGTTTAAATATTTAATGAAAGCTGAAAAGCTTCGGTCTCTAAGGAAATTTTCCATGAAAGACTCTTAAATTCAAATTTCACCAATATAAATTCTACATCATTTGAAAACTCAATACTCAGCTCCTCTTGCTGGGTTTCCTTTACCAACTCCACCCTCTCAGTGTTCCCTGTTATTCTGATCACTGCGCCTATGTATTCACCTGAAACACACAAGTGTGTTTTTCAGTTTTTCAAATGTATAGACATTGTCTTCCTCCAACTACAGAAAGCACCTCAATGCAGTAACGATGTCTTTGTCATTCTTGGTGAGTCAAAATCACTTGATTATTTAAATTGGGTGAGAGAACCAAGGATTTGGGAGTAATTTGTGTGATTTAAAGGCTCTGTAGGTGAACATCGCTTGAAAAGTGGGGAGGGGAGGGGAGGAGGCATTTGATTTATCACCATAAATTCTCAGCCCAAGGGAGTTAACGCATATTGATGAATAAACCTAAGAACAGTACAAGACACACTGGAGCACTATCTTAGAGATTTTCAGTCGAGATATCTGTCCTTTATTTACTGTAACAGAACATTTCCAAACTGAACGTTCTTCCTGAAACCACAAACTATTGGCCCCTTCTATCAAAAATTCAGAATTGTTCCCATGCCTGTAGATTTATGCACCTCCTTTATTTACTGTAACAGAACATTTCCAAACTGAACGTTCTTCCTGAAACCGCAAACTATTGGCCCCTTCTATCAAAAATTCAGAATTGTTCCCATGCCTGTAGATTTATGCACTTCATAGTAGATGTTGCTATTTAACGAGAAAGGAAAGTAGCCTTAAAGAGAAAGCCTACTGGCTTTGGGAATAGTGTCCCTGCTTTTTCAGTCCAATAAACTTAAAATCATTTCTATTTCATCTACTCACAACAACTGAAGTTCAGTATTATCATGTATTCAAATGTGTAGAAATTGAACCTCTAAGGACACTTTTCAATTTAACTTTGTATAAAAATGATATAATTATGTAGATAATCCTTGGATAATAATGGATTACCATGTGATTTTGAAAACTCTAGTCCATTTTGATTCTTTTAAACTCTTTATCTTCATGTTTAGTCATGAGAACTCTCTACTTCCTGGGTCAAGGTTTTGACAGAGGGAAAAACCGCTTTACTGAGATCATTCAAATCATTCAGAATATATTATGGTATTTGCAGCAGATTCTCCTGGAACAGAGATAAGTAAAATTTTCCCCATATTCCTGCCATGAATAATCATTCAGTATAACTAGTCTGTTCAAAAATAAGTTCGTTAGCAAATTTTCCATTTATATGGATTCATGTGTCTCTAGAAGAACGGTCATCAACAAATTTAGCAAACAACATCAGATAGAAATGGGCTAAACATAGAAGCCCCAAACTCGGTAATAAGATTAAGCTCTGTGATTAAAAGACTAGGATCGATTACCTAATGAGTGGACAAATTAGCTATTTAGAGATGTAAGCCATGGAAAGAGAAGGTCTGCAAGTTCAGGGCTAAAAAAACTGGAGAAATCATCATGTCCAATTAAAGCAAGATTTCCACTGGAATGCAGTGTCATCAAGGCTCAATCAGAACTGGGCTGATGTGAAAGAACACTGGAATGTTATCATTCTGTCTGAAGACAAAGTATTTTAGCAGAAGGAGGTTGGTTTACATGGAGTTTAGTTGGGGAATCTAAAACCAAGGGTTTGGCAGTGTTTATCTAACTGTGTCCAGGAGAGAGAAATATGGAATCTGGCAGATATATAGAGAATGTTGGGGACAATTATGAGATTAAAATCACATGTTGTTACTTCGGCCAAGATTCAGGAATATTCAGAATTAACTTTGCTCTCCCTGTCAAGCATCCATAGAGAAGCAGGCTCAGAAGGCAGAGCCAAGCAAATCACCACCATTACACAGCTGGAGCTCTAGCCCCAAGTCCTTCTGCAGAATGACGGTGCTCTAGGCTAGACCAAGCAGAGGAAGTGGAGGTCTAAGGAGCCACAGGGGACAGCAGGCTAAATTACTAGATTTGTCCATTCCACGGGGGGTTCCAATTCCAGTAGACCTTAACCACTCCCAGCTCAGCAAAAGGGCACACAGAGTAGACCCACCGGCCACAGAGGAAAGGAAGCAAGAACTTGGAAGAAGGTATTTGCCCTGGTGTCTAATGCCGCCTTCCCTAGACCTTGGTTGACAGAGCAAAAGCCAACCTGCATGAAAAGGAACACCCACGACACAGAGAAAGATCGAGCCAGGCCTATTGGTCAGAGGGGATTCAATAAACTCAATTATCTCCCTGGACGAGGCAGATTCCTTTCTGATTAGAAATTTTGCTTCTCAAGTAATTTTTAAAATTATAAGTGAATGTCTGAAATGGCAGGTATAAATTCTACTCACTGGAAAGGTTAAAAACACCATTTTAAAATAATACATTGTCATTCTGGTTTATATACAAGTATCTAACTAAGTTACGTTGCTTAGCATATGTCAGTCTCTG